GACAGAGGTAGGCAACATTCAATTTAATTAGCTGTTTTTGCGCAACTTAGTCTTATTAATTTATAACCTAAACCATCCAATTTTTTTACATATGAGAAGCTACATCATACATATGTGAAAAAATGTTTAAAATAGGACCAGTAGTATCGTAGCATATTTAATGCAAAAAAAACAACAAATATTTAAAATATACTCTACATTATTATAGCATATATGTATTCTGGATTGATTAAAAAAAGTAAATTGATATAACAACTTCACAAATAATTAACTTATAAGGTTAAAACGTAATTTTTCATAGAATTAATTTTAATTTAGCAGATTTTTATTGTGGGATCAGTCCAGTTATATAGAAAATTGGTCTTTAATTCACATAGAAATAGAACTGTCAATTTTTTTCTGAACACGGTATATCCGTTATAGAGTGTTAGCGTTACACTTATATTAAATTCAAAGCTAATGACAGATATATTGAGTTCAAATTACGTTTAAGACCCGCTTATCACAAAACACAGAGTTGCTAAGCTACTCGCTGTACGACGTTAACAATGAAACATTAAGCCATAACTTTAACGCCTTAACGCGCGATGACACCGCACATCGGCTCTCGAAACCTAACTTCTGACGGTTTCAATAAGGGATTTACGTATGAATAGCCTAAACTAACAGTTTCGAGTCCATATATATCACTTTAAACATTATTGTTATTATTAATACGTACCCGTTTTAGGTGTCCGTTTTATTATGGAAATCTGAAACTGTTTTTATCTTTATTTATTTACATGTTACACCATCGTGATCACAATAGTTTTATTACGTATCGTCCCAGACTTTTAGCTGCAAATTTGTAGGTCAGGCTTCTTTTGATGCTGGATTAGCAAGATGGTCTAGAATAATCCGATAACTAATTTATTATAAACTTTCAAATTCGCAACGAGATTATCTCGCTTAGATTGATTCTTGACACATTATTCTTGATATTTGAGGAGGAGGAGACATCTTCATTACTCGGTCGGTGAGTAGCTTGGTGGCGTTATGAACAAGCGCCGCGGTCTACGATCGTCTTACGTAAGCAAGGGTCGATCACAGGAAGGGCGATTGAAAAACATATTATCTCGAGGTACTCTGTGCTTCGGAAAGCACGTTAAATTGTTGCTCCCGGCTGTATTTACAGTCGTGAATACCCTCCAATCAGCATAAGGTTAGCGTGGATGATCATGGCCCATCCTCCTTAACCATCCATAAGGAAGGCCTGAGCCTCAGCAGTGACGTAAAATAGCTGATAATGATGATAATGATCCCCAATACCTCCATACGTATATATATTATAATTGGTAGTTTATTTTCTACATTAATCTGGCTGGGAATAGAATCTGGAACCTCAGAGATCTAGACTCCTTGAAACCAGCGAGCTACTAGGTTACGGTTTTAGAAATAAAATTACATATTTAAATTATTTTTGTTTGGTACAGCAATAGGATATGAGGATGCCGTGTCAATGTTATTGTCGCGTACTTCCTATAAAGGCGGCATTACAACAAAACACACTCCGTCTGAGTGCTCTAGAATCATGATTAACGTTTCTATTTTATAGCATTAAAATATTGTTTACGAGTTCATATGATGCATAAGTAAAATTCACTCTATTCATAAAACTTTAGAGGCAGTAATAAAATATGTGGTAGGTAGTAGTAAAACGTTTTAGTCTGTACTAATATTACATAGAGGAAAGATTTGATTCTTTGTTTGTTTGGATCGAAAAAGCTCCGAAACTACCAAACCGATTATAAAAATTCTTTGACCTACGGATAGCTACATTATACGGGTTTGGGATAGATTATAATTTGCGCGTGCGAAGACGCGGGAAAACAGTTAGTTATTGATAATGTACAAAGACTGACAATAGCTTTGATAGGACTGACAATAGCTTTGATAGCCTCTTTAGATTCGATTTTTGTCTATTTTTATTTATTACATTAGCTCTTGAATTTATGTAACTTATTGGTCCTAAATATATTTTCATTTGCTCCGATTTTATTATTGGTATATGAAGCGAAATCTGCAGGGGCACCCATTACTATGGGCGTCCCTCAGGGATCGATATTAGGACCATTGCTTTTTCTAATTTACATTAATGATCTTCCTCACTTTACAAAGAATTTGTGCGAGTCAGTGTTATTTGCTGATGACACCTCTTTAGTGTTTAAAGTTAAGAGGGGTAATGATTGTTTTGACGATGTAAATGATGCTCTCGACAATGTTCTACAGTGGTTTGATAGTAATAATTTAAAGCTTAATTCAAATAAAATAAAATGCATAAAGTTTGCATTACCTAATTTGAGGCATGTTAATACACTTATAAATGTAAATAGTGAAAAAGTTGAGTTGGTGGAATCGACAAAGTTCCTTGGTATTACACTAGATTCCCGACTGCAATGGGATCCTCATATTGATAATTTGTCAAGTAGACTGAGTTCTGCAGCATTTGTTGTTAAGAAAATTAGACTCTTGACAAATGTTGATACGGCAAGATTGGTATATTTTAGTTATTTTCATAGTGTAATGACGTGTGGTCTATTGATGTGGGGTTCTGCGGCTAGCATTCAAGATATTTTTATTTTACAAAAGAGAGCTGTCCGCGCTATATATAATTTACGGTCTCGGAATCCCTCAGAGAAATATTTAAAGAAATAAATATTTTGACTGTTGCCTCTCAATACATATATGAAAATATTATGTACGCAAGAAAACATTACGATTCCTTCACAAAAAAAAGTAGTGTTCATAAGCTTAACACAAGAAATAAAAATAAACTTGCTGTTCCAAGCTTCAGACTTCAGAAAATCAGAGGATCATTTCTGGGTAAATGCATTGCTATGTTCAATAAAGATCCACAAAGTGTAGTTGACTGACCCATAAATAAATTTAAAATTAATGTATAGAACATACTTATGAGTAAAGGCTATTATAAAGTTGATGATTATTTTAAGGATCGCAATGCATGGAATTATTAGCCTTCACTTTGTTCTATAAAGACTAATTATATGTTCAACCTACAGACCTACAGACAGACTTTGAAAGTTGTATTTATTATTGTGATAATACATATTATTTTGGTAATGACATGATTTATGTAAATGTCATTACTTATGATAAAAAGCTGGTAAGTTTCTTTTGCTTGTTCTTCTTGTCAGCTAAAAGACGTCCTGAACAATTGTTAGGGAAAAAAAAAATCTTTGGACGATTCAAAAGTGCTTGTAATAGCCTACTTGAATAAAGATATTTTCATTTTATTTCATATAGTTCTACATTTTCCGAATATGTATACGTAAGAACCTTAAATAATAAAACCATATCGAGGTTTTTCATTTTACTAACAAAGTGAACATTTTGTGGATTATCTTTAATAATATTAATAACCCGGTTTTGCATCCTTATATCATCCTATTATTCCTGTTTAGGTAATTCATTGAACCACATTGAAATCCGCAGTTTAGCTTCCTCAACTCTTTAAATGTTTAAAAGACACAGGTAATGTGAAAACTGGAGAGTTTTAATTTATACTACATATAAAGTTGTTTATCATTAAAAATTTTTTTAGAAATCTGAACTTTTTTACTATCATTATATACAGTTAGACATAATAGGTATAAAAGATGTTTATGCACTGTATTAATTACCTATAGAAAAGTACATATTACTTTGTTATCACCTGTTGGTGACCCGCTACGCAAACCTTTTTGGCATGTTTATTTTCTAAATTCTCAGTTTTTAAATAAATGTCATTTATACTTTTAGACTTACGAAAACAAATGTAAAACTTCAGTGTGAGAATACTAATATACGGCTGTGACGATGTGTTTTCTTGGTTTCCTTTAAAATTACCTGGTAGCCAGATCTCTATCTTTTCATCACCGGAACTCAGTATTATTTTAAAATACCTTAGTTAATGAATAAATTTGCGCTTAAAATCAGCAAATCTTTCAAAGAAAAATAATATTTTATTTATTTAAACTAAAGCAGTAATACAAGTTTTTCGAATATTCTTATATTGTTTTTCCAACTAACATGCCAAAATCAGGGACTTAGCAGAATGAATCAAACAAATGCATTGTATTTGATTAATCTGCTTCTTTGAAGAAGCATTTCAGTGTGGCGTCTGAGTTGTTACTTAGTCATTAAAATGATTTTCAACCTATCGAAGGAATTAAATGAAACAACTTAAAACGGTTTCAGCGCGTTTCATTTAAAGAATAGTGCACATGAAAATATAAAAAAAACTAGCTTTCCACGTGGCCCTTAGGGAACTAGGGAACTGTTTATTTGGATATCGATTTATGATGACATGTATATAATTACAATGAGAAAATGAATAGTAAAAAATGGTTACTACGTTGACGTTTTAATTCCCCATCCAAATTTATACTCCCATTTTTATCCCGTTATTTGCTATTTTTCGGGATAAAATATAGACTTTGTTAACCGCATGTGAATTTTTAAAATCTGTCCTGTAGTTTCGGAGCCTATTCGATGCAAACGAACAAACAATCAATCAAATCTTTCCTCTTAATAATATATGAATAAATAACTATTGCAGGAATGTTAAATTTAATTCAAAAATCTTTTCTAGCTTGTTTTATTCCTAATTTTACGTATGCCCATCTAATTTTTTTTGATACTTTTAGTTTTCATCTAAATATTCATCTCTTCATTAGTTTTCCCGCTACCTCACCTACTTCTCACGTATACTAATGTAGCTTTTCGTAGGTGAAAGAATTATTCAAATCGGTCCAGTGCTTTCAGAACCTATTCAATACAAACAAACTTATCTTTCCTGTTTATAATATTAGCATAGACAATTCCTTTTGCACAGTATATCTAAATTTTTCTACCCATCTTTTTTTTATTTACTCGCATTCAGATATATGATGTGCATAATCTAGCTCCAATCATCATAACATTTTTCTTTTCAATATGCGATGTTTACCAAACCATTAATTATGATATTGTTCCAGGGGAAAGAATACGGACGCCTCAAAAGCTCTGCTTCATCATTCTCGCATTCATTCACGAGAGCACGCCGTCTGCCGATACCTACTCATCGAGTTATAGACCCTGTAGAAGGTTGTATTATTTATGTATTTAATAAAAATATCCCCATAAAGCAGTATCGGTGAGGAAACATTTTAACATTATTGTTTTTTAACAGGCTTATTGAAAGGTACAGACATACACCTTGGGATAGAAAGTGTATAATTAGATATTTTATAAATTATTATGAAATAAGGACCTACAAAATATTTAGGTACTACTTACTGTTTCCGTTTCTTTGTGAGTGGATTCAACAGATAACAAATTCAAGCTAGTTTGTTTATATCAAAAGGTGGTCACAGTTTGACGAAATGAAACCTACTTTTTATATTTATTTATATTGCAGAGAAATAGCGCAAAGCTCAAAGTCATAAGAATTTTTGATTTGATAAAAGATTATACTATTGCTGGTGGTGGATCACAAAAGTCCTTTTATAACTAAGCAATGATTAGACATTCTACTAGATATTTTAAAACACGGTATAATAATAAATTGTTGGAGAACTTGATCATAATAATAAAGGGTACTTACTGTTAAAAGATTCCCTAGGGGTTCTAGCTTATTAGTTTTAACATTATAATTATGCATAAATTGCTTATACTAGATGTCTAAGGGTTCAAACAGACCATAGTTTACTTCTGACTCGAAAACTTGTAAGGGTACGGTCTCCTATGAGTATAACTACCATTAGAAACAAGCTGAATAGCAATTGATTTCAGAAACAACAAAGTGGACGCTCGTAATTGCAATCCAAGTGTCATCAAAAATGTAATTAATGATTAGCAACTAAACGTTTATCAGTACAATTAAAAATTGTTTTTTTTTTATGTTTTAAATTGTCGATGTAGGTAATATTTATAAAGAAATGTGTTTTCCAAATATTATAATATATTTATTAAAGTTACCGTCGCATAGTAAGTTTCATAATTGATTAAAATAAGTATCTAAGTTCAAAGATAAAATAATAACCACTATATAGTTTATAGATGTAAAAACATCTTTAAACATATACAACCAGCTTTGGTATTTTATTAAAAAAAGAGTAATGCGTCTAATGAAATAAAACCTTTATTATCTTTGGAAGAAGGTTTCATCTGAATAAATCTCTAACTAAAAAAAATAGTGCTACTGGGTTCGGTGAAACGCAACTTTTCTTGATAGCGTAGCGTTTTCAAGTAAAACGGCCTTAGATAGACAGACTTATTGATATATACAAAAGGATATCACTTATTGTCAATCGCTATGATCTTTTTGTATTCCAATCGCATTATTTTATTGAAGATATCGTGGTAATAATAATACGCAGAACTCGTTGGTGATATGTTAGAAGAATTCGTAAACCACAGAACACAGAAATGAGGTTCGTATACTGTCGTTCATATTTTATAAGACTACGCAAGTTGTTTTTGAACTAACGAACTCACCCTTACACCCTTAATTTATTCCTTTTTACCTTGTGACTATTACCACGTATGATTTACATAAAATATCATTTGAAATATGTCAGTTAAAGTATATTTAGTGTGTTGGTAAAAATGGTATGATAATCTCTTATAAGAAATCCATGCTATATACTTATAATATGATTAAACGTCTTGACTTTATTTATTTAAAATGTCAACATGTTTAAGAATCTTCAAATTTGAAAGCGTAATCTGTTGACAGATAAAACAAATATAAAAGTGACGTTCCACTATAATAGATGAAAGTTAAAGCACATTATAGTAGGGGAGCCCACGATGCTAAATCGGGATTTACTCGAGCGTCATAGAGACCTATTGGGTTGCGAAGCTTAGATGATAACAAAAAAAAAATTTCATATAATATATACCTTTTCATCGGTGGGGGAAGCGGTTATAGATTTTTAAAAATGTAAAAAAAAAACTGTTGTATGGACATACTCGAGCGCGTCAGATATTAATATCATCCATGTCCTACGCATTTTTAAAAACTGTCGTATGTTAATCTGATCGTTTCCATGATGGGGGTGGTTATACGTTAGGGTTGAAAATGAAAAAAAAAATTATTTAATCGAGCGCGTCAGATTTTTTGAGGGTATGTCAAGTGAACCTAAAAAAAAAGTTCTCATATAATAATCTGACGATTTGGATGTGACGCAAACGCGTAACCATTATTAGAAAGTGCAAAAAAAAATCGCCATTTTGAAATACTCAAGCGCGTCAGATTAAGATATATATGGTTCATCTTTATGCCCCAGACGTGATATCTCATATTCTGACGATTATCTTAAGGAATTTACTTAAACTGACACAAAAAAAATTTTTTTTTAATTTTTTCAAATCATTGAGCTTAATTAAATAGAAAAGCATCGGAGTTAGCATGCAAATAAAAAAATGTATGTTTTTTATGTAAAATACTAATATTTATAAGAAAATGATTATATGAAAATTTAATTTTTACAGTATTTTTTATTAATTATCATCCTCATCGCTAGAATCATCTTCCTCTTCTTCTCTTAAAATAACAAAATAAGCAAAAACGTTGGAAATACGATGTAAACAATATCACGCCACGAACGAGTCTGTGTCATCAGCTGTCATGGCGTCATGGCAACCGAAACCAGAGTGGGGATGGAATGAGAGAGTAATAGACAGAAAAAGAGAGAGAAATAGTGATGCGGAGAAGGAAATATAGGTATCACGTAGCTTAAACGCATTTAATCTTATCGATGAATTTTTATTACTTCGGCTTGTGACAATCGTCAGATTATATATTTTTCATAATCCTTGAATGATTCCCTTCAAAATAAAAAAATATTAGCCACGCTCGAGAATGTCAAAGTGACTTTTTTTTTTACAACTTTGTAGCCTTCCCCCTTCTTTACGTCACTCTCAAATTGTCAGATTAGAGGTATGTACACCTTTTAGCATGTAACTAGCTCACCTTACCTTAATCTGACGCGCTCGAGATTTTCAGATGATCAATTTTTTTTTACTAATCTGATCCTTCGTCCTTGCCGGGCGGCCATTTTTATAGGGCTCATACTTGGTCCAGGTACTTAACTGGGTACAAGGTATCCCCCTGTATATTTGACGAACGATCTGGTAAGTGCATGAAAGTATGCATTAGGACGCAATAGATCATCTGTCGATATATAAATTTGAATATCATTTCATATGTTTGTCAGTTTTGACGTTCGACGATCGACGGCTTCCGTCAACTATGCACCGACCTGTAACAAAAATCCTTCCCTTCTTACGACTTTTTGAGGTCTGGTACTCTAGTAGATTTTGTATCGACGATCTAATACTTTTTAATTTTGATCATAGATTGTTTTCTGGTAACATCTGAAGAGGGTGAATTGTTTTTCAAGTCGCCGTCGGACGAGCCGACAGTGTGCGGCATTTATATGATAGCTGATCCAGACAAGCGGATCCAGGTTTCATTCAACTACGTCGACGTGCCGTGTGAAAACGGTGGTCTTGTGGCGGTAAGTTTTTTCTTTCAAGAATTTTAAGTGAGCTAATATAACCCAGCCTGAGGCTTCATTGCCTTCTACTTTGACATCAGAGGCGTCCGTTGATCACGCGTACGAATATGAAATAACTGCCGTGAATGTCAACGCCGCTGTCCAGCGTCTCATACAACAAGGTGTTTTTATTTTATTTATTCATATACTTGAAAGTAACTTAATATGGAATTAAATAACAGAAATACTTTCTAAATTATTCTATAAATAAATTATTATACGATTTGAAATATACCAAGTGAATCTGTAAGCGTATAGCGAATTTGTTGGACTTTATTTCAATTTTACAAATCTCCTATTAGGAATAATATAATAAGAAATTTAAATCTTCTTTATAAAGATTCTATGAAGATACTTCTAACACACTCAAACCAATAACGATTGCATTTAATAATATACAAGATATAGGTACCACAGAACGATATACTTACTGATGCATAACAATAAATTACATTTTGTGAGTTCATCGGGGTCGTAGAATGTCGTGATGACGTTTCAATAATGGTATCCTGAACATTTCGGCTTCATATTTTCAAGTTCAAAATTAATTAAAAAATTAACACTACCTCTAGTACCAGTCATTCCCGCTGAATTTCTTTAATTACAGATCAGCTGTGATTGTAACCAATAATTACAAATATGTACTCATAATGATTAAATTGAATGAAAAACTGAAAAAATGTGATAAGCTAAGTGGAGAATATGTTTTGAGGCATTTTTTATTTTTGAAATTAATGCTTTTAATTATAAACAATATTGTTATCAGAACAAAAAGTGACTTTTAATTTATAACGACTCCGAAATGGAGGAGGTTCACCATTCAACTATATGTTTTTGGGTATTTGTTACGCGATTACTCCGCCAAATATGAATTGATTTACAATTTTTTTTATTCGGCAGCTTAATGGGTCGCGGTAGTTCCATTTAAAATTTATCGAATCGAATTTGTATTTTTCTTTTAATAATAAAACAAAATATGCTTTTCAGCAGACAGCAGGCATGTCTGCAAGGTCTTTAGGATCCTAAAAGTGAACCAGTTTAAACCTTCTTTATTTGATACCGGATCCATTCTATCCGCGTGAGGTACACCGCAGCGAGTTTTATCGGCTAGTGCGGCCACACTTGACCTCGCCCCTCGGGACAGATCCTAGTGGCTGGAGAGAAAATTGAGGCATAAGAAGTAATTGCATTAACAAAAAACATACTCGCAAAAAAGAATTATATAATTTGCAAAGTAATAATTACTCGTATTTATTTATTACGCGCATAGAATCTTTATGCGAGCTTGTGATATCTTTATAAAGTAAAGAGACAATTTAACTGGTTTAAATAATAGTTATTTATTCAAAAAGGGGATTAAATATTTACCGACGAGGGATATATAATACTTTATATTACATTTACGAGGCAAAAATGAAAAATCACAGAGTACCTGTTACTTTTTCAATGCAACCTGCCAAGTCTGCATCAATCACAGTAATTTAGCAAGCAGTTCTGAATTACGTTAGGTGAATATTTTCATGAGTGAAATAAGTGAATTGGAAATAACGGATTTTCGTATAATATAATTCACTGTTTTTCAATTTTTTCAATACACGACCTTTTTCCTGGTTAAAAAATTCTGGTCTTGCCTTGGTTAATAGAAAGACAAAAAAATGTAAACGCTACCTTTATAACCACCTTTATTAAAAATAGCAATACGATTTGATATTTTTATGTGGAATAAACAACTACTTTTTACAAAAAATTGTGTTTTGCCTGGTTGAATCTAGAATTTTTCCTTTGCCGGTGACCCACCGAGTAAAGTTCCACTACTCTCTTAGGGGTCGCAACTCTTATATTGAAAAACATTGATATAAACAACGGGGTATAAATTATTGTATCGATGTTTTCAGTGGGTCGATGGATGGGAACTGAACGGTCAGGTGTGGCCAGCGGACCTGTGGGACGACGATCGCGTTGTCGAATCGTGCGACCGCCGACCACAACGCAAACTAGTGTCGCATCAAAACGCAGCGTTAATACAATACCGTGTACCCGCTCAAGGAAAAGGGTTTGCGGTTACCATTAGACATTTGAGAAATGCTAGACGTGAGTATGTACAGAAATAACCATGCTTTAATTCCATAGAGCCTGAGGGGCGCTTTAAAACACCCACTGAAAGAAGTACCTGTTGCATTGCAAGCTATCAATCGTGGACATATGGAAATGTTTACTTATTCTATCCGTTAATCTGGGGGCATGGAAGTGCCACTGCCAAGTCGAGCAAAAAAGGAAAAAAGTACCATCCTTTTTCGAAGCTATTCGGGCCATTTTTAAAGTCCTGTAACTTCGATGTGGCATAAACTATAAGCCTAAATTCTTAATGAACAAGAGGGCATCACATAATGAGGCACATTTCCCAAATGAAATTAATTTTGAACGAGTAATTTAAGAATTAGGTAATGCAAGTTATATTTCCTTCATTTTGTCACTGACTGACTCACATATCATCAAAATTCTATTTTTGAGAAAAAAGCTGTCAAAAATGGTATACTTATATAATTCAATTTCACCAAAATGGTTCATACATCAAATGAATTCAAAGGTGTCGTTACCTAGAGCAGTTATATTGAAGAATCAATTATATTATTTACAATAAAAGATCTATTAATCACCTATGTTTCAAAAGTTCTTAGGTTTTCGACATAGTCGTAGAAAGTGAGTCTTGATTTCTTCGACCATCATCATTCTTCAACTTTCGCACTATAACACGTATAATAACTACTACCTATTTACAAAAAACGAACCATACAAGATAAGGTTACAACAGGTCCTAGAACAGAACTAAGTTTGTCCTCTGATTATAGCTACGCGCAGCACTAAAGAGTACAAATTCCAATTTTTTCCTTTTTCGTAAATATTTACTATTAACAACATAACAGAAAATAAATAAGGATGACGACTAATTCTTGTTTGTTTGTCTGTCAGGTAAATTATTGAAGTATATATAATTATTAATTACATCGAGTTGAAATGTCACATGACATCACTCCTTAACTTTAATGCCTATTATCGTAGCCATTTTTTTATATTGAAGCAAAAAATATTCATATCTAATTTCTTTATTATCTGGCTGACGGACTATTTTTTTTTATTTTTATTTATTTTTATTTTTTTTATTTTATTTATTTGGGATAACAACAACCTCAAATTACAATACAATACTTAATTCTAGAATTTACTTAGAAGGTCAATATTAGTTATCCACATAAAATACTCAGCTTCAGTTGAGGGTAAAACAATATTGTCAGTGGCCGAGCGCATCAACCGTAGGATCAACACTCGACAGTGCGTAATGGTAAGTAGTCGTTTGCCGTCGCTGCCGGCCGCCGCGCTCGACCCTGTCTGCCAACTTCTCACTTATTGATACAAATAAATACATAATTTATACATATCATACTAATTGTTACATTAAAAGTAATAGATATATATTATATAATAATAAGGTAAAAGATACATATATAATAATACATGTCATACAAACATACATATTTTTAATAGGCATTTATTTTACTCCCGTTAATAAATACATTTTAGTAAGTGTTGCACACATATACCATTTCTTTTTTTTTTTTTTTTTTTTTTTTTCAGTTTGGTTTATTTTGTAAGCATCTTTCTTATGTTGGTCATAAAAGTTCTCTTACAAGTGATAAACGGATCAAGGCTATTAAACTTCGCATTAAACGTTCGCATGAGTCTAGTTACAACCGCATTATTACCGTACGATGTGTGGTGTCTAGGGACATAAAACATCGGTGTATGCCTTGTACGATATTTAGGTGTATTAAATGTAATAAGAGCTAGTAATTCAGGACTGTCAATGCGGCCTCTCAGTATGTCAAAAAGCAGCCCCATATCCAGCATGTAACGTCTGTCTTGTAAGGTGAGCAAAGAATATAAGCGACAATTATCAGTGTATTTATTTTTATTGGACGTTTTATTGAATTTGTAATTTAATCTTGATAAAAATTTCTTTTGAATGGATTCCAATCTATTTATATGTATTGCATAATGTGGTGACCAAATCTGGCAAGCAAATTCCAAAATACTTCTAATGTAAGCACAATAGACAATTTTATAACTTATGATGTTTTTAAAAGGTTGACATGTACGCATAACAAATCCGAGGTTTCTATAAGATTTTTTAATAATATTATCTATGTGACTTACCAAGGTCAACTTTGAATCCAATATTACACCCAAATCACGCACCTCGTCTACTCTTTCGATTAGAACTCCGTTAAAGTTGTATTGGTAATTAATCAGTTTTCTTTTGCGGGTAAAAGATATACAATGACATTTGTTGATGTTGACCGAGATTTTATTTTTCTTGTAATACTTAAACAGTTGATTTAAACAGTTGAGTTATTTTAATGAATTTTATTTTTTACCCCGTCCTCATCCCTATTGTGCACTTATTGCAAACTTACATCAGATGTAATATTACGCAGCCTGCAACGTAATGCTGTTTGGATCGGAAGGCGTGTACACACTACGCAACCACGGAGAGACCGGAAACTGTTCTGTAATCGCGGTATCTCCGGCGATCGTGAGGATTCTAGACTTGAACGTCGGTCAGTCTCTAAAGAGGGACATGCTTGACATGGAGACAGGGACCATTCACCGCGTAAGTATAGTGGTTTTCGTTTTTTAGGTTTCCGTATTCAAAGGGTAAAATGGGACCGTATTATTAAAAATCCGCTCAGTTGAAATCTTCACAAATGATCTATTTTTTATAAAATACAAATACTGAAAACAGGATAAAATAAAGAGGACTCCGTTATTGCTTGTAGCCCGTTAGAAATTGCTACCCTAGCAAAAAGGCCATCATTTGCGTCTATGTTACTTGTAAGTTATATGTCCTTATATATTAATGTATTACTGTATGCAAAAAAGTATATATTTAATAATTCTTTATTTCGCTTGTTTCCCTACGTACCCCTTCGTACGAGAGTCCGTATGTGATTTTTTTAAAATAAGTAAATAAACGAACTTATTTATAAAATCAATGTAAAAATAAAAAAAAAACATGTTATTATACAAAATATTAGCATTTACAATTTTTAAACATAGTACTACAGCTAACAGTTAGGTGATTTTAGCTTGGCGGCTCTACCATGTAACTGAGACCTTGTTTAATCTGTCAAGAATAAACTTGAATGTTCTGCCATGCTGACATATCTGTAAAATTAATTTGCATTGGTCTTGGATAGAACAGATCAATTGTAGTTGGTCTATCAGTTTCGAGTTTTCAGCTATTCTTGTGCTGATGTGACTGGGCTATTTATTTAAGTTATTCAAAACAGCTTTTGTTGAGCAGAATTGAATTATATTTGATATCTAACTCAATGCTGTTCACTAAAGTAAAATAAATAATTCAAACTTAATTTTTTTACAGTGTATGAAGCGTGGTTTGTCAGATTACGTGGAGATTGGCGGCGCGAGTGGTCTGGACCACACCAAAATGGAAGTTCTCGATAGCGTCTGCGGTTTAGACTCAAACGAAGGTGTGTGTTATTGAAGATATCAGATAAGAAAACCTTTTTTTGTTTGTGGGGGATAATCTGTAAACTATTTTAATAGTAATGTTATAATGTATATTTTAAAATAATATAATATAATAATAAAAATATAATGTTATATAATATTTTACTATATATATAGTGGAGGGTCATAGACTGGTTGTAATCATATACGGTTGTGTATGCATCATGGAAATTAGTGGCCCACCCCAGCTTTGAACAAATACTTTTTTTACATGCGGATCCCCAACGTTGTTGAAAATATTATATTTATATTATGTTAAATAACTTTTTAAATCGGTTTCGGAGCTTATTCAATGTAAACAAACTAATAATGTAATATTTGCTCTTTTTAATACATATCAAAACAAAACATGCAATTTTTGATAATATATAATTAAAAACAACTATTATTCAATCAGAAAAAGACTCACATTGTCGTATAGTTCAAGTATTAAAAAATGTGTTAAGTAATACGAGACTGCAATATAAAGGCCACGCATTTTATTCGGTTATAAGATTCAATGAATATACATACCTGTCACTTAAATCATAATAGTATCAAATTTAGATTCTCTTTTATACAAAACAAAACAAATTTAAGATCGGTTTCCTCGTTTTGCTTTTATGTTGTGCGTGGGAAGATAAGAAGTTGTCATGTTTACATTTTCGCGGGTTCAAATCAACATACAAGGCCACAGTTTATAACATTCAGCTTCCATATATTTCTATTTTTATCCTTGAAGAGTAGTAAATATATTGCCTCGAATTTTTTAAAAAATTTAGCACTTTAGGTATATACAACATGGTGTGCTTTATGTCATCATGTAGTTCCTGCGGGAACCTAATAGTAGTTAGTAATGTCATATTGAGACGTTTCAATAATTTACTATCGAAAAAGCATCGGAAGCTATTCTTCTCATTGTCATGTTATAATTTTTGAAATTGGTTTATTATCAAGTGTTTTACCTACATAATAAGTATCTATTCACAAAGTTATTTATGTGTAATGACTATTTTTCAAGAGCTATTTAACATTTGTATTACCTACATAAAATTATCTGTTACTCTAGAGTTTATTTAAGAGAATAACTTGCTACGTTTGAAACTATATAAATTTTAAAATTTTGGTTACAGTAGTTCACTGATTTAGGTATAATTATATATATTTATAATTTCAGTCAAAGCACATATATGTCTAAATTTCCTGCCTTAATAGTCCACCATTTATAATGTTCTCCGTGTATCAAAGCATAAGTGAGATAAATAAATGTTTTCCAAATGTATTTATGAATAATATGAATAAGTAGGATTATAGCTGATCGATATTTAACAAAAGTATTGTTTTCAGGTCATCGTTCAGCCTATATAGCCTGCGAAAACACCGTCGTGAGACTTGTATCGAGTGGGCGTTACCACAACTCGGTAACTCTAGCATTCGCCCCACTACCTATAGAGGATATCGAACATTCTGACCTCATCTGTGGACTCAACGCATTGTAAGAACCCGGACTCACGTGGCAATAGAAAAAACTTGCCATTAGCGACTTGCTTATGTATCTACCCCTACTGTTGCATATAGATAGCATGTCCAATGACTAGTTTATTTTTTTTTTAATGAGAGAAACATGTGTTCCCATTTGGAGAGGCACCTTTACGATTTAAATAAATTTTTAGCACCTGCATTTAATAATATCTGATCGTTATTCGTAGTTTACAGGTGCAATGACGATATAATAGCTAATGTTTTAAAGTAAGATTTTCAATAAAAACATAAATATCATTTGATAGGTGATACTCGATGAAGAAACTACAATTAAATCAATAAGTTGCCTATTTATTAACTAAGCATAAGTTAATTTTACTAAACAAAAAAAAAACAGTATATGATAGTGTTCTGCGTAAAATTTAGTCTATAAATTATTATCAGTGATCAATATTAGTAATCATCATTCATTTTATTTATTGAAAACAATTCTTTATTTAAGATACAATATATTATATTTTTCTTATGTCAATACAGTTAGATACATTATTGTAAATTTTAGGAGAATTGTTAATAATTTTATGCTTATAATTTATTGTCATAGTTTAATTAATGATAAGATAACGTAATTTTGTAAGTAGCAATCAATAGTCAGTGTTTATAATATCTAGTCATATTTCGAGACTCAATTTTCGAACGTGCAATACGACGAAATGTCTTCGAAGATTATCAAATAAAGTTGATTTATGGGACAGAGTTTTATTATAATCTTTATCTTGTTCGGTTCTTTGTAAGCGTTTTATTTAAAACATGACCTAGAACGTATCCTGATATTTTAGTAACGTCAGTGAACATGAAACTTTAAAACAATATTATATTGAAAAATATGTTCCAAAAAAGTTCAAGTTTTTGAACAAAATAAATTAGTATTTATAGTTATGTAAGTGTCATAAACGAAATCCATTCAATCTTACAGTCAAATCCAAAAAATACGGTATACAAGTTTTCAGTTATTATATTAAACAAAAAAAAGAAACTAAACTTTTCATTTTAAGGCAAATAAAAAAATTTATTTATGTGCTTAAGGCAATGTTTTACTGTCGCATAAGAGTCACCTTATAATAATAAATAAAAGATAATTTTTAGAGAAACTTTATTGAGTATTGTTCTGGATAGAGATAATCATATTTAAAGCAAAAATATTATCACTATTGTCTAAAAGTATTCAGATAAAAATATTCAATCTCACTACAGTGAAATAAATTCCATGCAACTGTACAAACAAATTTTCTTCATATTCATACAATTCTAATAAACACCTAACCTTTTACGCAATATATTTTATAATTTTTTCTTTAATTTAAAGTAATGGATATCTATAACAGTGAGGAATTTAACACGTGAAAATATATGAAATGAATACTTCACCAGAAGCGCTACGGCGATTAGATACAATTCAAAATATAAAATATATATTGTCTACGTCATTCGCATTTTTGTTGTTTTACAGTAGTACAAAATGAATAAGTGCACGTCGATCATGTATACACACAGTAAAATTAGCACCTAATTTGTAAAGCGGTATCTACTAAGATCGTTTACATAACAGATTACTATATTTATTAGCGTCGTTACACAAAAACATTAAACATTTACTTATTTTTTTTTCTAACAGTACCATTTAACTTTTTCTAGTGAACTACACACAGAGCCGACACTGTGCACTCGTTTAAAGTACACAACAGATTTCTCTTAACACAGTAAAACACATGGACATTGATTTGTTTCTGGCGTGCGATCTTACGTATCTATATTTCTATTTAGAAATTTCAGCTGAGAATTATTAGAAAGAAACAATAACTTTGATATATAATATACTAATTGCGATCATAATCAATCTATGCCTTATATACGTTCTAATATCTACTTCTAAAGAATGTCTTATTCACAGTAAATATTATCAAAATATTTATTAATAAAAAATGTGAGAAAATAAATAAAAATTATTATTGAGTTATATGGTGATTAAAAATTTTCAATGGACATATGAATTATGTATTGGTACAATGAAAATAGTTGCGACGAAATTCAATGTCAATGATTGTGATAATTTTCAAATTTAACTTATGTTTTCTATAGACAAAGCTGCATATTGTTAGCATGAAGTATGCATTAACAAAACCTTGACAAAAAAATTGTTTTATCATGATACAGTTCCATTTAGTACAATTTTATTTTATGAATACTTCATAGGGTCAAACCCACAGTTAATTACAATTGCTTGCAGGGGCATATTCTAGGATCAAAAGGGTTATGGCTTAGCCATAATTTTGTGTGTAATATTTTTACTTTGACATCTGAGAATATTATTCTCAAACTAATTTAATTTTACTTCCCTAGATTTAATTTTACTTATTACCAAAATATTGTGTATTTTTCTTTAATTTATTGGGCAACAAAACTGGCCTTGTTCGTAAAAGGCCCAGAGAGCTTAATTTCACAATACACCACTGCTGATTCCGTAAAAACAGATATTGTACAGGATTTCGTAGCAACACAATTTTTTGTTTACTTGATAACAACAAGAAAAACAAATTAGGCCTGCAAAATAAAACATCATGAAGACAAACATTTCTTTAACGTGTCTTTATTAAACAATTGTATGTCCTTTCAAGTTACATGTTATTTGATATGTATTCATTGAACAATTTCAAACAAAACTTTATTTTTAATGAAATATTTATTTTATTGTAACACATTTTCACTAAATTCATGTTTTAATCAAACATGGTTTGTAGTGTTATTAAGTTAATTTTAATACTTAAAATACTCTTACTTTAAAATCACTTTACAATCTTACTTTTAACTAATTAAAGCTATCCCATCAACATCTCAAATTGTGCTTTAATTCGACGTGAAAGCGACAACATGCAAACATTTAGCATCATAAAACACTGCCAACAAAATTCTCATGAGATCTACGTGACTATTTGATAAATGAATGCTAATTTGGAACGTTGAATATGGTTGATTAATGTTTAAAACTGATGTATGTATATTTTGTTGTTATGGTCGGAAAAAAATACTTTATAACAAAGTGAAAAAACAAATTGAATATTTGCTTCAATTTAACTCATATCAAATTAACGAATGTTAAAGTATCTTACACTAAGATATTAGTGCAGATATTTGGAGATAATGATTTTATATATTTTTACAATGATATGATATAATTTTGTCAATGAAATATTTTTTGTAAACTTTTAATTGCAGCTTTGCAATAACGTAACAACACAGCGTCGTACGCAACGACACACGTAGCAGTCTCACAGCTTCAAAGGTTCAATTAAAGAAAACCATTTAAAGTAATTTTATTTGATTGAACTTCCAATAGTATTTGACTCTGCGTTTATAACAGAAGCACTACTGGTTCGTGTATTTTTTTGAGTTACACTGTGGGCGCCAGTTTTATTTACCAGGAAGCTTAAGATGAAAAGAAGCATATGAAACGTTACTTCTTTTTGTAATGCGTGTGTGTGTAATGTTACTTATGACAATTTTGTTGTCAGTACCCAAAAGAAGTTATCAGGTAAAGTGACAGCACATTTTACATTGGTGTGTTCCACAAATCTACTTAGTGCATTTTGCGTACTGATAATAACTTTTTAGGTATAACTAGTTGACAGTGGTCTTTATATGGCAAGTTTAGAGAACCTCTTTGATCTGAACCAGTTCTTGGTGTCTAAATACGACTCGCAGTAAATACTATGAAATACAGAAACAACAACGCGAAAATTGCAAAAGAAAATCACTTAAAAGTTTTGTGGTATAGATTACTACTTGATTATCTATATATTAGTTATTTCCATTATTGTTTCTTTATCTATCACTAAATATTTCTTTTCTGTATGTGTCACAATGAGCGTACTCGGGTTTTGGGTCAGGGATGGGGTTAATCATAGTTCCGCTATATTATTTTGTTAACAAACTAGACATGAAGCGCCGTGACAGAATAGAGCTTCATTGAAATAAAACCTTTGTAACCTTTTGTAGAAGGTTTTATTTGATTGAATTGATGACATGACACCCTACGCTCAACCTCAAGTTGAAGCTGTTTTTATAACAGCTCTGGTGGACCGTCAACTTTTAGTGTAAACAGTAGATAGTAAACAGGTGTACAACAACCGGACAGCTGCTCCTCGTTCGCCCCTTGGTACGCTCCTGTGTGCCCCAATCGTCTAAAACACGCTCAAGGTAGTAATTGACAATGGAGTATTCAAATATTATAATATTACCTAGTGTTATTTTAGTAAAAACTTAGTTTGCAAGTATAAAATTTTTAACATTCATAAGACTATATTCCTTTTAAAGCATTATTAAGCTTACAGATTGAGTGTTATTGAAAAGTAGTACACATTGTTTCTACAGTTGCCTAAGATTGTATAATAATGTTAATTTATGTGATTAAATAATCTCATTAAGTGCACATTCAAAATAATTTTCACAGATCATTTTTATGTTTTGACATTTTTGTTTTATAATTTAGGCAAGGTTGTAGGCTGTGTCTTTAGGCTGTTACCGCGCATCGCCCGCCATAGAGTAGGACATCGGAGGGTTTAGTGTGTATCGGAGTGTATAAGGACTAGCCTCCTTTTCGGGGTAGGTCCACAGCAGGCGCACATATACACATAAACTATGCAGCGTTATGCAGTAATGTATTACCCTTCATAAATATTTTTGGAGTACGTCAAACTGTATTTGAGCAATTATATTTAAAACAACGAATATGGAATATTTTGGCTAGCTTTCTGTGTCAAAGTCAATGTAGATGTTTCTGATATTTTTTATGGTTAAATCGAAATTTCCACATGCTCTAATTGAAGAGAATCACTATACGCATGAGCACCGTACTACAACCTGGCCTTAACATTATTTATTTTACTAATTAGAAGGGCTGACGATTTTTTAAATATAATCAAATATGTGATTTTTTACGTATTTTTATAATAAAAAAAACGGTTTATGTTTGGTTTTGATGTAAGTTTCCATAAAATTCGATGGAAATATAAAAATAATGCTTGTACTAAACAATATTAAATTTGATTTTCAGCCTTAGCGCAAATGTAATATTATTTTTAACTGTCCTACAAAAATGCAATACTTATATCATGTGCACTAGAAATTTATTAACATACAAGTCTATAATGTGTTTTAGTGTCGCGACCTATTCATAAGAAGGAATTATTTACAAAATATACTATTATCTGTTCGAAGTCATAAGAATTTGGAGTTTCATAAGAATCTTGAGTGGTACGAATTAAATAGCTTCCTAATAGTATTTAAATATACATAATATAGGGTATATTGATAAAAATTCGTCACACGGTATACGTTCGACTATAATATTTTATAATTTAATATATATATAAAATTCTAAAATTTCGCTAAGTTAAGATATGTATATATTTTTTTTGTTATTTAAGCAGAGGCACACTTTGATATGTAAGTTGTTACGAATCATTGTCGTATGTAAGCAACGCTTTAACAATCAAAGCTGACATTTATCTTTTCTAATATATTTTTTTATATTTAACACTGAATCCTAATGATACTCTCTGATTGGTTACAATTTCACAAGTAATATATTTTTAACATACAACTAAACACAAACATCAAATATGACTCAACTAGGAAGAGGAACATTCTGAAACTAGTTAACTTAGCACACTTAACATTTAACCTATAAATAAAAAGGTCACCATTATGAACCCACAACATTGTTTCCTATTAAGGTGGGAGGTGACATTTTAATTAGTTTTGATTGTCAAGAGATGGCGTTGTTACGTAAAACTTATTTTTTTTTTAAGAAATACAAATATACGCAGTACAATTCTTGAATTATGACTTTCTAGCGTAATATTATTGATGTATTTAGTTTTCTTAGTTTTGGGATTGTTAATGTCTAAATAAAAAAGGCTCAAATAAGAAGAATCCCTATTTCATTTAGACAAATATTTTTTTTTTGTAAAAACTAAAGTATAACAAATTTAAAGGTCATTACTAATATATCGTTAAATACGCAAAACCCTTTATAAAATAACATTGGAAATTTTGTTTAATAAAAAATTGAAACAACAGGTTAGAGTACAAACGCCATCCATTGACAAGCGAAAGTAATGAAACAGTCATGTATGTACCTTCTTAACGTGTTAAATCTTCATCATACAATTACAATCACAGAGTTCTTTACAATGACATGAGAAAAAAAGCTTACATCATTCTACAAGTGATAGATTCGTACATCGCAGTTATTTCTTCACTTTTGCATTCTCTAAAATATAACACAATCATTTTATGGTTCTTATTGAAAACTAGGTGGCGTTTTTCAATTACAAAAACTTCCCGCATATTCCAAATTTAAACGAATTTTAAAATTTTACATCTCACATTTTCAGAATTTTTTAATGATATTTTTGGGAGAGTATTATGCAAAACTTCTATCATATTTAAGATGCGTACATAACTACAAATAAAATATTATGGCTACTAAATTTATTCGAAATCGCGATCTATAAGGTCGCATTTTTAAGAAAATATCAGCTACCTCATTTGTTTTTTCTTCACAAAACATATCGAAACAGTCTCAAACTCATCACTGCAGTCCATCTTATTATTACTAAGACAAGTCCATCCGATGCACATTTCATTTCTACGCTAGTAAATTCTATACCATTGAAAACTGAAAAGTTATGTAGAAAATATTTTCAAACTCATTTTCCTACCTATGTGTTCGCGCACAGGGTTCAATTTAGCTTCCACCGCGTGGGCGTTCTAGTAGTCGATTATTTACAATGCTACCGTGGTAGCTAGAGCAGTGAGCAGTAGCACCGGCAGTGTGGTGCCCGCCACGCTGCTGTACGGTCCAGTTACCGCACGGTCACAGGGAACGTGCTCCAACTCTACAATGTATATAAAAAAAAAGTTACTTTTCCCATATACCCATATTTTGCACCGAAAACAAAAATTATCTTGAAATGTTATTTATTGCCAAACGACTCTATTTCTTAATATGATCACAAGACTACAAGTCCAACTGAAATTTGGGTACAGACATAATAACAAAATTAAATAAAAAAAAATATATCGTAGTAGTAAGAAAATAAATCGTTTGACTATTTAACCAACTTCAAAATCGAAAAAGAGGAGGTTATATGTTCGGCGAAGAAGTATGTTTTTTATGTATGTACACCGATTTTTTCGCTTATTGTTGACCGATTTTAAAAAAATATTGTTATTGAAATCAAATCAGTAATTTTTTTTTATAACAAAACAAAATATGCTTTTCAAAAGATTGAGTATTTTGCATACTTTCAAAATCCGAAAGTAGGATTTTCTATTTTAAACGAATATGTATATTTTTCATGTAAGTAGGTATGTACATCGATTTCTTCTTGAATTGTTTCTATCAAATTAGCTGTTTCCCCACGACTTCACCTGCGTGTAATTATAACCTATGATTCACGTAGATAAATGTTGTAATCGGTCCAATAGTTTTGGAGTTCTTTCAATGCAAACAAGCTTTCAAATCTTTTCTCTTTATGAGTATAGATAATTGGAAAATGATATGCCGACGTTGCCATATACTTTATGTAGATATTTACTGTTACCTATTATAATATTACCTATTCAAAGCTTGAAGTCGGTTCTATTTTTTTTTTAAGTTGAATTTTAGTTTTTCACTACAAAGTTTGTTTCTTCAATGATAGCATCGCATGGTTTCTTCAATGGTAAACCTTTTGATCACCACATAAAATTGGATGATGGATTGGCATTAGAATGTCTATTTCGTATTTTTTCTCCACTTGTACATTTTTTCCAAAGTTTGTGAATGCAGTTCAGAATATCTTAAAAAGTTAGATGGTCTAGAGCTTTCGTATGGCTGCTATGCTAAAAATATTTTTTTTACCATTGAGTTTGTTCAAGAAGTCATTCCAGAAGGCGCAGGCAGAAGCTCTCGGCCCCCGGGGACCTGCAGGACCGCTGGTGCCATCAGCGGTGTATGTGTAGTAATGTGGCGACGACCTGGAGTACAGGGGCCACTTCTCGTTCGGTTTATGTGGTTTCCTGGAATACATATTATAGAGTAATTTTAAGGCAACACATCGTAAATGGGAATTTCCTAAGTCGATAAAAGATGACATTTTGAGCATTAAAATGCAATATTTATCCAATATAATAAGTAATCTTTAATCGGTGTTGTTTTTATTTGAAAGTATGTTATTATGTAGATCCGTAACTTAACGTAAGCGGTTTTTTATATCTTGTTTGTCAGTTAATTTTATGTAGCAGCGGCAACCATAATTATAATAAGAATTTTCAGTCCATGTTAATTGTCTCAAGGTCTCTCAAGGACCCCGATTACCATCATGTTATTCAGTGAAGGCCTCTCAAGGCCTCCCCCGCCCTAGATTTAAGATCTGATGGAGTAGCGTTTTTATATTCACGAGTGCTAGGTATTTTCAGATTAGGCAGACTAAGCTATATTTATTTTTGTAATATTTTAATACTGATTTAAGCATGAATTAAAGAAATTTTCAGTGAACTAAATTTTGAAAGATAATTTGCGACCTTAATCATATTATTCTCCATTAGCGATCCGTCAATTCTGCTTAATACTGAACTTATTGAAAATGTATGCAAATAGTAAGTTTAAACGTAAAGTAAAGTCATCAATGTTTTGCACCATAATACATGTCTTTCAGCAGCCTAATGTTATCGTGATATGTTGTTCCATAGGTATAAGTAACATTATTTTATAGTTCGTTTTTATAGTGTATGCACGAACTATTACCAATTGTAATTTTTTGTTTTTAAGAAGAATGCTTTGAACTAGTCAAATGTGGTCGGACAACAAGGTTAAAACTTTTTATGCATAACTGCGACAAAAAAGTCTTATTAGTTCAACGGTCAAACTAATCATGTGGATTAGTAGAAACGAAGGAAAAAATTCACTAGTTCCTGTTGTTATCCATCTCCGGGCACCTTTTGGACTTTTGGACTCGTGAATTACAAGCATCATTTTTTATGATGAATATCTATTGATATTATTCACGCACAATTCTATATTTAGCATTGTGCATGAATAATTAATGACATATAATACTTCCTATGTTTAAAATAATTTACGATGATGTCAAAATATAAAGTAAATTACCCAGTGAGAGCGAATCTGGTGAAAGACTGCATGATGTGGGCGGCCAGGTCACGTTCACGTGTGTGGTACTGCAGCGACATGTTAAGCGGGTGGCCGAACACATACTCCATTTCGTCGCCGTGCATCACTCCCATCCATTCGCCCCAAAGGCTCGTACTTGTACGCTGTAATTAATATACAACAAAATAAATCTCTGTTCTATTACCACTTATTTTGCTTTCGTTCGAGATCAGGCCAGTATGTAATGTACTATATCTATTGTAAAGACGTATTAGTTCTGCATATTAGTAAAAAGTATGCGAAGACTTAGTTAAAACTTCATTAAGAAATTGAATGCAGATAGTGTGGAATCGTATGGATATTTTCTTCGCTTTCTGCCTGAATTAGGAAATAAGATTGTTATAAAAGCAACATTATAAAAGTTATTATTTATCCTGTGACAAAAAGGTGAAAGTTTAATATTTTGGTGGCGTTACATAATACGAATGGTTTTTGCCATTGTTTGTTTCAAATGGTAAAAATTTTAAAAAGTGCATAAGTTCAATAGACGATTTGCTATATGTAGGTATGATTGAAGGATTTATTTAATGTTTGTTTTAATATTTAGCTGCTTTTAACACATTAATATAATATTGCAGACCGCTATCTATCTTTTATCTCATAAAAGGCAGGTTTAATCTTTTCGTGGGCGTTTCTTATCTACTCCGTCCGCTTACTTTCTGCCATAAAGATAATAGGGTCCTGATTTCTAAAGACGCCCTCACACTTTTCTACTTTATATACTTCCCAAGTTGAAACGGAGGTGGTTCCATAAATTCAATCTTCGATTGTAGTTCAATTGTTTTGTACACCTACGCACGTAACTTAATGTTGTTTATCGGTCAATCTATTTTAGAAAATAGCGATTGCCAATCGGAATAATATTTCTTCTTGTATTAAATTTCATTGTTTGGTGATTTATGCTTATAATGAAATGGCAAGAGTCTAATTAGATTTTAGGTTTTTATAAGCGAAATAATGCTATTTTTATAATGATATATTTTACTCTATAATCTAATATTATTAATGTTGTTTTTGATCTTTAGTTTTATAGATACAATTGAGATAATTAGAGAAATAAACCAAACATTACAGTATTATATTAAGAACATCACATAATAAGCTCCAAAATATTAATGATTATCAATGATTATTAAAAAAAATACAATTCATCAATTATAATAATCTTAATATTCGAAAAATATTGGAACATTAACACTATCGATATACAAAATCATGAAGTTACTTCATCGTTGCGTTAAATGGAACTTTATTTTATAGTTTTGAATTATATTTGTAAATTGTTATTTAATGCTTCGTTTGTAATGTCCCGATCAATATGTAACTTAAAAAGCTTTTGTGTTGCCGCTGATGAAAATTAATGAGGTTAAAGTTGCCACAGCGGTCTATAACTGTGTAAATTTGAGTTATATTATCCTATAAATATTATGGTTACATTGGTGGTTTTTGATACAATGTTACTATGTTTAGTTTTAAGGTTAGTTAGTACAAATACAAAAATAAACCTACTAACTTTAGAAAATCTAAATATAATTATAATGGCCGTAAGCAAGTATGGGTTAGACCCTAAAAAGGTTGCGGTTGCAGATACCTAAGAATCAGTCAAGTCCGAGTTCGAACTATGAACTCGCTCATATAGACAGCCAGTACAGTCAACAGCATATTACGTATTCAGAACTACTTAATTAGTAGACTTTATTTTGAACTTATGTTTTCAAGATATGTGTATGATGCCCTGTAAAAAGTGTCAGCTATGCTATTTTATATTCTAAAAAGACAGTTGAAAGTCGAGCGCAGCTCCGTGAAAGAATAGAGATAGACTGATTAAAATGTCTTTACATTTTAAATCTTAACAGACTATAACCGTAACGGGTTATAGGAATATATAACCAGTGGATACATGCTTGAAAAATCTAATAGATTCGTGAGATTTGTCAAGCGCTTTACGTAAGTATGCGATGTGTGACACGTTACCTTTATATTAAATTACAAAATGAAATTATGACAAAGCTTTCCTTGAAAATGATTTTCCACTCGCGGAGAGTGTGAGATATCCATTAAACAAAAAAATCTAATATTTTCGATCATATGGAAAAATACATAAATTATTGAACTGCAAGTCAAAGTCCTAATTAAATGTCCTAAGCTAATCGAGTAAGCTTCTTGTATTAATTGTGACAACATTTTGCTACGAATTCGTTTTACTTATCAGTCGAATAGATAGTCTTTAGTTTCTGTATTTCCATTTATTTCAACACTCACCTAACGACCTTGGTTACAGTTCTCAGGTATTTAGTAACATTGTTTTAACTAGGGCATTGAATTAAAAGCCGCCATACACGCGCGGCATCCATTTAATAATGCACAGGGCGGGCGGGCGGCCGACGGTATGCGTTGTCATGCATGTTATAAGTATGTTATACCGCACTAACAACATTGTAATGCTAGAATTTGCGATGCTAAAATGTTTCTGATTTCAACGTAACAAGACCGTTGCTAGCTTAAAAAATGTTGCGGATGATGTGATGTCGATATTACTCGCTCGTTGAAAGGTCAGCCAGTGTATTATGTAAGTAACATCTCGAAATGCCCCCGGGATTTTGAAACACATTTTCTGTGACCTCATCGTAAAAGGAATTGAGGTCGTCTATTCAAGTGAATATATAATAAGTATTTAAATGTGTAAATCTTGTTATACTTCTTCATCAATAGGAGCTCGTTATACTTTAAGTATAATAAAAAAAAAAAATCAAATATTTTTTTTTATAGTATTTGATAAATCAGTTCGAAGGTGCAGTAGTTAGCTCAGTCTGCGATGCAGAATTTAAGCAACTTTACCAAGGACCGCTTATAGGATGGGTAATCAAAATTGAGTATCTCAATTAGGTTAAGCCGTGCTGCATCTGCGTCGTTGTCCCAGTGTTAACGGCCTTTAACACCCACCAATACGAACTGTGCTCACGTGGTTGGTCATGGTCCATTTACTCCATTCGTTTTGATCCGAATCCCACGGGGAAGGCCTGTGCCACAGCAGTGGGTGATGATAACTATTTTTCATGGGAAATTTGAAAGTATCTTACAGTCGGTAGTTGTTATCCTAGTTCAAATAAGTTAAGAAATACAATTTTGTATTGTCGTAATATTTATTTCATACTATTAATTAATTTTTACATTTCGATGTAACATTACAAAGAGGAAAGATTTGATTGTTTGTTTGTGTGTTTGCATCGGTTCATTGTTGAGTAGCTCGGTGGCGTAGTGGATAAGCGCCGCGACTCGCGATCGTAGTCGTTAAGCAACTTTCGCAAGGGTCGGTCACGGGATGGGTGACCAAAAAAAATTATTATCTCGAGCTACTCCGTGCTTCGGAAGGCACGTTAAGCCGTTGGTCCCGGCTGCATTTGCAGTCGTTAATACCCTCCAATCCGCATTGGGCCAGCGTGGAGGGTCATGGCCCATCCTCCTAATTAACCATCCATAAGGAAGGCCTGAGCCCCTGCAGTGGGGACGTAAAAGGGCTGATGATGATGATGTGTTTCCATCGAATAGGCTTCGAAATTACTGGACTTATTTTAGAAATTCTTTCAACTACGCTTGGCTACATCATACGGGGTTAACATAGGCTATATACGAGTGCGAGTTCGCCTGAAAACAGCTAGTTTTGTATATATATCGATTTTATAGTCCAAGGAGACCCATCGGAAAACCACAGATGTGACACAAACTGGAATCAAATTGCCCAAAACAGGCCGGAATGGAAAATATTGAAGAGCTTAAATTATGATGACAATGATATATACAGAAAAAAAAATATCAGTTCACAAATTTTATGAGTTACAGTAAACAATATTCACGTGCTTTTTCTCCCTTTTTTAACTTACTTTTAACGGAGATAAAAAAATAAACACGAAAATATGAATGAATGAAAAAAATATTAAATTAAATGTTAATATTTATATACAAAATAAAAACAGGTTCTGTTAATGATAAGTCGTATAAAAAAAGACAGGACAATATCAAGACAAAATGCGCACCTTATCCAAATGAAACTATTGCGCAGATATTGTACAAATAACTGTCGAGTACTTCATTGCCATTGTAGTTTAATATTCATTTCAAACGTGGACAGTTATGTTTTATTGCGTCTGAAAGAGCTGAGAGCACTTGCGTTCTATAAATATTATTTCCTTTGGGAAATCAAAAATCCTTAGAGATATAATAGTCATCAATAAGGCATTGAGTTTATATAATCAGCTGTGACCGCAGAATTTCCAATTTATATTTTATAATAATAAATATTAGAATATGAAGTAAAAATACTGATCGAACAAAAGTTATAAAACAAAATTTTGACATTATTGTTGTGGGCGGAAAGATTCATTATTTATACTTTAAATAATATAAGTTGAAATATAAATAATGAATTTTCTATACACAGGTATAGGTATGTTCGTCGCAGACCCTGAACTATCTCTACTTATAAAATAACTAGGTTTCCGCTAGCCCCCCTTGAATCAGTATGTAAGTATATTGACGAAAATCCTATTAAAATTCCTTGTGCAGTTTAAAAGATGTCAGTTAACAGACATCGATAAGTGACTTTGTTTTATGCTAAGAATAACTTCGGCAAACGGAAGGACAAACAAACGTACTCCTATTCAGGTGTAAGCTAGTATGGAATTAAACATTAAAATAGTTTAAATCCTTATGTTAACTACGTTTTTGCCATTTACCCTTCAAACGATTCGTTCAGCATAGTTGATTAATTGAATATAAAGAAGGCAGATTGAGTAAAGACCTGTCACAGCTGTCTCAGACTTCGGCAATCTAGTCTGGTATTACCAGTGTCGAGTTGATGAGAACTATACACGTTTGTTTCTAGATGGACTAAGAAATAAATTAATATTGAACGCCAAGCTAAATTATTAATCTATACTTTAATTATAAAGAGGTAGAGGTTCTTATTTTGTTTACTTATAAGGTGTAATTCGATTATGAAAATTCCTTCTCTTACGGGAAGCTTTATCATACGCGGTTGCCATAGGCCTATAATTTACGCAGGCAAAATTTGCGTTAAATTAAAATAAAGAAAGCGTACATGATTCATTGGTATAACAGTGTGTTAATTTTCTTCCGAGTCTAAAACTAAGAATATTTACCACCCTTTTATATACAGTCTTCTACTTGAAAAGTATCTATCAACCAATTTTCATATATTTAGTAAGTGAATGATCTAAAGATTGACTTCTGTCTTGTTTTATCTCGTCTAATAAGCACTGATGAATGTTCTAAATATGAGAATGTTGTATTGGTAACGTCTTTTTAAAGTAATAACAATTTTAATTGATATTTGTGCAACTGAGTGTAATACATACGGTATTCCCAAAAGGATAAGAACCGTACAAACTCAAATTCTCAAAGTCTAATCACCATCGTTAAAAAGACAAACCGAGTCTTTAATAATGCCATAAATTATAACGTTTTGGCTACTGTCTAATGGAATGAAGTGAGGCAAATTCGCGTTAATGCGAAAAAAGCGTCACAAACGACCTGAATGTTGTAAAAACGGGATAAATGGTGGGCAATAAATCAGGAAGTTAGCAGGGGCATCCGCGATTTGTCGACGACATAACGTTTTGACAGATGACCCCCAAGCTTAGGGACTGGCCTTCATACGTTGTATAATATGTTCATATCATCAGTACTGAAGTAATATCGATTTGTTTTAATGAATGTCACAATAATTTACCTGATACATACTATGGTATCAACTGTAATGATGAGAGCGGGTAATGAGGCACGATAAAACTTATACTAATGAATAATTTTGATAAGAAAAAATATTGGACGAATGGCCACTAATGAAAAGCTACAGAGACTATCAAATTTTGGAAACATACATTTGCTTGAGCTTACAATCAAGCGGCTTAAACATTTTAATAGGAAACAATATAAATATTTAATACCCGTAAAAGTGAGTAGCTCGGTGGCGTAGTGGTTAAGCGCCGCGGCCCGCGATCGTTGCCGTTAAGTAACTTTCACTAGGGTCGGTCACGGGATGGGTGACCAAAAAATTATTGTCTCGAGCTATTCCGTGCTTCGGAAGGCACGTCAAGCCGTTGGTTCCGGCTGCATTTGCAGTTGTTAATACCATCCAATCCACATTGGGCCAGCGTGGAGGGTCTTGGCCCATCCTCCTTAACCATTCATAAGGAAGGCCTGAGTCCCTGCAGTGGGGACGTAAAAGGACTGATGATGATGACCCGTAAAAATCATTACTCGAGAAATTTCAGAAATTTTGCTCTGTTCTAACTGGAAAATCGACCTTTTCCGAATCTGCTATGACTTTTTATTTTGAATCAGGCAACTCCGTGTTATTATTCTCGTTATTTGTATGTGATGTGAAATTTTTACAGCAACAATAAATTTATACATAAAATTAATAAAAAGGATTAGTTTTTAATTTTGTATGTTTGTATACTTATAGTAAACATTGATCTGATCATGAAAATTATTTTGCTTACAGAAAGCTACATCATAAGCGGTTGACACAGAATATAATCAAAGCGGGAGAAGTCACAGGAAGACAATAAAGTAAGAAGTATTGATGGCGAATGATAATGATAAAATCATACGATTCTTTCTACCCTTGTATTTTTGTTATATCGATAGTTTGTAATTAGCCATTTCAGTTTTATGCATTTCACCAAACGAAATAATAATTGAAATTTAAAGTGCATAAATTACATAACCGTAATTTTAGCGGGAATGGCAAGTTGCAGTGCTATTCTGAAATAAAAACACGTTCGAACTCGACGTCTCGCACAGCGCTCTCACAACATACAGATTCAATGAAACAAAACGTACATGAAAATGTAATAAATAATTTATTGCATTCAAGCACTAAGCCATGACAGCGTTGTTTTAGACGTCGAGCTTTAGGTTGTTTTATAACAAAATAGTATAACTGTTTATAATATAAAATACACACGAGCAAAAGATGAGTCCATAATTATTTCATTTTCTTTAAAATGCAGATTGAATAGGGTTTATTTCGCTCTGTTTTCACTGCCCTGTTGATGTTACCGTTTTTTATCGGTTTATAAATTCTACTGACTGGCCACGACAATTTTATCTTTTCAGCAGTTATTTATAACCCCTCAGCGATACGAGTAACTGAATAAAATCGATTTGATATCTTTTTCTCATCTCTATAATATCTTTTATGGGTCATGATTCGAGTCACGACGTATAAAAAAAAAGGCGAGCGGGGAAGGCTATTTTTCTTATGACGCAATGAATAATAAAACGCACTGTGAATTTTTCACCCTTGCCCAGTACCTACGAGAAGTTTTTTCTTCTTTATTATACCAATACGAACCTAACAAAACATTATATATTGAGATAAGATGGCTCATATGGGTTTGTTCATTTGCAACGGGTAAGTGTTAGCATAACTTGTCTCTTTTATTTTTCTGTTCTTTTCTATTTTATATTTGCCTGTTTATATTTTTTATGTAGTTTTAATTGTATGCACAATCTGCTTTTTATTTTCTTGTGACTTCGTACAAAGATGTTTCCTGGAAGACATGTTTTTCTTAAAAGCGATAAGGCCGCTGTACAATGTTTGTGTATAACTTTTTGTATATTTGTATGTGTTTGTGCAATAAAGAACACTTATTTATTAGCTATAAAAAATGTAAAAAACGGAAGTGTCATTTCCATTCCTCTGTAATTATTATCTTTTATCTCAGTTTTTATTTGCCCTGTATTTTAAGTCTGTAAACTTCACCGAATACAAATAATCCTATAATAGTTGATATGGTTGAGACACACACGTTAACACGTTAATTTGGCTAACGAAGCAAACGCGAGGGTACTACGAGCCTGCCACTGACATACGCTCTCTGCCCAAAGCCAGGCCTCAAAGGGAAAATCCTATTTGTACACATACAGACGAAAAAAATGATTTTTCGCTTCTGCAAATGGAAAGAAGAAAATTGAAAGACTTGCGTCCATTTTTAATCCACTTATTTATATTAATAAATGGCAATCGTTTTAACTACAACTGCTAACATAATTTAATTTACGATGTCTTTGTCATCATTCTTTTGTGTAAAAACTATTTTATAACTAAAACGATTTAATTATATTACAATAATGATGTACTAGGTAATTATAGTTTTTGTGTCTTTATGTAATACAACCATAAGTAAAAAAGTTAATGGGCAAAATTTAACGACATTTTTTAAAAAAGAAGTACAAAGAACAAAAGCGTTAAACCGAATTATCTTATTGAATTAAATCTCTTTTCAAAATTCGTCTATTTATAGGCACATATTATATAATAATACCTTCTATGAATAATACTGATATACATACAATTACAAAGATACAGTATCAAGAACAGAAATGGAGTGGAGCGGGTCACAATCCGAAATAGCCCGTTGTTAATCTGTGACCTTTGTCTCGCAGCCGGCTGACCCAAGTCTAATATATTAAAGATGCAATCGTTTCTACTGCGCGGACACAGTGCTAAGTGATGAATAGTTATTTGTTACTATTCCGGAAAATCTCTATAGGAAATGGGCTAGTGTTTTTTGTAAGGAGATATATTGTTTATCATACTTAAAGATATTAGGTAGGCACTACAGCGCAATAGGTGAATACAAAAGGTTCTGCGACAAACTTTGACTCCAATCAGTCATTTTTTTAAATAGAGCTTTCAATAAAATAAAATAATATTACTGACATTAACATTCCACGTTCTTAATGTAAAATGCAGAAAAATCCACTTTGTCCCAGATCCCATCTCAGAGTACCAGGGACAAAGTAGATTTTTTAAGCATTATATATTAAGAAAATATTTTCCAATATAGCACTGTGAATGCAAAAAATTATCAATATTTTCTAAAGGTGTGTATTCATATAGCGAGGTTGCCTCTTGGAGCTGCCTCTCGAATACTACTCAAACGAGTAACCTCATAATGCTGACTGGGCTTAAGATTTAAAAAGTGAGAACTATTATTTCAAAATGTCAATTTCGATAGCAATAGTTCACTTAAGATACCTTTTTGTGTCATAGATCTGGCATGACAATGGCACACAATTAAACCCATTTAAAAGTTATTTTGTATTGGTATATCTACTATTTATTCTTAATGAAAAATCCACTTGGTCCCTGGCACACTGAAATGGGATTCGAACCCATGACTTTTCGCTATTCGGGCGACTGCTCTAACCACTAGCTACCTAGGACATAACAGGACTGACGAATCTTTAATATATTTTCGCTACTACAGAGCGCATTCTCATCAATGTTCAGGCAATGCACCAATACAAAAACATTTTTACAAATATTCAAATTTTCGATAAAGATAAAAAATTTGTTCGAATTATTATATTTGATCAGTTTCGCATACTCAATGCTATACTGCAAAATATTCTTAATGAAAATTGCCTAAAAAATATACTTGGTACCTTGGTACATTGTGAAAGCGAAATTGATCAAATATACTCGTAATATCTACTATTTAGCTTAAAATGCACGCTAAGGAACCCGATTGAATGTTATTTCATTAAATACTATTTTGTTTGAAAATTGTATTTAAATAGAAAAGTCGATAATAATCTGACCTTCACTTACTTTAAAGTATCTAGTAACAAGTTAATAAGGTCGCATAGTGGCTTAGAAATTAAATTGGGTGACCATCTGACCTTAGTTGTGAATAACCTTTCCTAACTTACTACACAGATATAAACATTTATTTGACGATAGTTATTCAAATTATTATGTAATAGTGCACTGATCTTCATATTACTATTTACTCCAAATAATATCATGTTACCAGACTCTTTTATTAACGCCTAGAAAAGTTGTTAGAGATTTGTTTTGTTACTTACATGAGTGAAATAATAATAGTAGACGTCAACGCCAGAATCAGCCAAAATCTCAGCAAAATAGTTGGTCGGGCACACGAAGAAGTAGTCTCCGACCACATCAGCTATCATCTTCTGATTTAAATAACCGTCTGTGATCTCCTCCCAGTCTGTGTACTAAAATAATAAAATATTAACATTATCTTATAGAAAAATATTAATGTACTATTATTGTAAATGCAAAATAAATTAACAAAAAATGAAATAAATTATACACTTTTATCAACTAAAATTTTTGAATTTCGCTTCGTTAATAATACATACACAGTAAAAATAAAGCTAATTCTAACATCTAAACGGCTTTAAGGCACAATTTTCGATGATATTGTGTGCATAACGCTGATTTCAATATTTTGTATAGATCAATGCCATGCACGCAAAGTATCAATTTTAAATAATCGTAAAATGACGTGGCATAAGACAATAACTATATAAATCATATATAGATATATAACTGTATTACGGTGCCATACGAAGGTGCCATATATAGGTATATAACTGTTTAAAACTGTTTTTATATAAGTTAAAGTATTTTACAATTTGCCGAACATTACCATTACCAATCTCAAGAACAAAAATGTTGCAAAAATCGGTCAAAACGTAAACCAAATAACTGAATATTTTTTGTAAATAAATACATTCAGTTTCAATATTTGATTTTTATTATTGAGTACGTAGCCGAATTTTGGTTTGATCTCTTTGGTAGGTACTTTGTAAATTAAATTAAATTTAAGCACAACGTTGTAAGCCAATTTAATTTCCGAGTAAACTGAAATTATTTGCTGTCACAATCTTTATATTGTAGCATAAAATTTTAATGGACATTTTTCAAGGAAATCGACTTTTCCTTAATCATTTTTTGGTGAAAAGAAGATTTGAGTTTGAGTGATTTTTTTAAAAGATTTTAGATTAAGAAAGATTTTCTAATATCAAATAGCTTTAAACAAGCAATCATTTCTTGTCTAGAGAGATTACACTTTTTTATAGACATATTATATATATATGTAAATAATCTGAATCGTGGAAATGGTTTCAAAGATTTCTTTTCTATTTTATTTCTGATATTGGTAGGTTAATAATAGAGTAAAAATATATTTTAACAAAGATAGAAATTACTTACTTGAAAAACAATAGCTTCTCTTTTGATTTTAGAAAAGTCCTTAAAAATTGTATCGACGATTTCCAAAAATTTTTCCCGCTGTAGAAAACTAGGTCCATCCTTTTCGAAGTAGTCAAGGAAATCGTAGAGCAAAAAATATGTCCCTGGAAATGATATATAAAATTAAAGCATTTTAATAAACAGATTTCTAAAGTAAATATTAAATTTGATTCGAATATATTGAATTGGAAATATTAAGAGACACCACACACATTAAATTTATTTTTAATCGTTATTATGTTATGATAAAAAAACTGGTTATAAAGGATCAATATAATAGCTGACACCCTAAATAAAAAAGTCTGTTTAAAAAAATTCTGTCTCAGTTTTGATTTTGTAGAAGTTTTATGGAAATTAGAACTAGAAATTATGTGAAACAGATAGTATACTCGTAAATTCGACTAATTTGTTTGTACGACGTAGTCCATAGCACATCAAATTATTATAGAAGACCTTTTTCTTCAATCAGTTTTGAGTCCTTGTCTGTTATTAATGAAACTTAATTTTGTTCTCAGAAATTTAGCATTTTTGGTGGTGGTTGGTAAAATTAATTTACTAAGAAGAAATGGGAGTTCTGGGAATATTTTCATAATACATTTAAATTATTCGTAATATTTTTATTTTTTTTTCGAAATCTAACATATTTCTTCCACATATAGGCAATACTTATAGTTTTACGACAATATAATAAAATCGGAAAATGAAACATGGCAACATGTTTTGCATTTAATTTGGTTATGTGCTTAGAAATTCATTCTTCAGGTAGGACATGGTTTTTCGTAAAATATTTTATGCTGTGGTTTACTGTTGACGAAATATTGATAACTTCACCTTTTTATAAAAATAATAATTTAATTTTTAGTATATACAAATAACACAACGCATTGCGTGTTAGATGTCCTACAGTTTAAATTCTAGATAGAGTGTCGTGAAAAATAATCGTTACATCGACAAGTACGTATCGAGTTGAGTTCACGACCTTCATATCACTAGGGCGTCTATTCTCTATGCATGGAATTTATATTTTCGATTAAAGTTTCTCGTATCCATCGCCTGGTTGTTTCACTTTGAGACAATAAAGTGTAATTTGAAAGCATTGAGCCCGGGAACAACCCGTTAGATACGTTGAAACTTACTTTTGTTTTTCAAACTGAATTGAAAATAATTAGGCAAAGTTCCACTTGCTTTGCATTCCGAACGTTTATAAAATTTCGTCAAAATATAAGTTTTAAGAAATATTATTATTTTATTCTCAATTTGAATACACTTCTTGAAAAAAAAATATCCAATAACGCCGATGCTAAATATATATGAAAAATCCGGCCAAGTGCGAGTTGGACTTGCGTACGAAGGGTTCCGTATCATAATTATCCATTAATTAAAGTATAAAAAATACATATTTGTTGTTTTCTATGGTGTTAATTGAAATTTTCGATTTAAATACAATTGGTCGACTATTACTCGTAAACCCTAAAGTATGTTTGCCCCACCGATTATCGGTGTTCGTTTACTACGAAACCCTAAAAAAGATTATAATGACAAATAAACGTCGGCCTGCGTAGCTTGCGCTATGAACTAACACCAAGTCTTAATCGTCCGATTTATTTTAACCTTGGTTAAGAATATTTTTGTAATGACTTTGAAATTTATTAACAGGTATCTTAACTGAATAGTGGAACTTTATTAAACATATCGATGCTTAAAACTTAGCCCCTTGTTTTGTTAATCTTTTTTTCCAATAAATTATTACTTTTTATGAATATTTATTTAATTACGCTCATCGTAATTTTATGGTGTATTAGGAGGTAGCAGTTAAGATATTGATTCATTTGAATTCACAAAAATACCGGAATATATACATTTTTCTTTCTTAAAAGGAATCACAAGAATGTTGCCTTTTGGATGGCGACGTTATTATTTTAGCTCTTACATTTGGAATATATGTGTGGCTTTGTTATTATAAGGTTTTGATGAACCCTATAAGATTTTCCATTTATTTATTATTACTTTACATACAACAAACATTGTTGACACTTGTCTGGCAAAACTTTATACGGTTTGACTAATGTTTTCGTTAAAAATTCTTTAGCCAATTACAATATTTTGTTGTTCTATACTTTGTGTGAAACATAAATATATTTATGCTCCTCTTTTATTTATTTGATTAACTAGATGTTTATTTTTTTTATATGTCAACGTATTATAGAGCGTCGGTGTAATTGTTTATTTATTTAAACTTTATAGCACGCGAAATCGTATAAGTGGCGGAATTCATGCAAATAGGTAAGCTCTAACATTAAACCAGAGAACTAGATACATATATGATATGGTTGTTGTTGATAAGATGACGTTCACATTCGTGCTCATAGGTTACAAAATGTCAGTCATATCTACTCTTTAGTAGGTATTATTTTAATATTGGAAAATATAGTTCACACTTTTTTCTGATGATTTACTTAAAGACATTTACTTCACCCCCGGCGGGGAATGTTCGGCTTCATCGACACTCGTGTACTGGGTCAAGGTCGATTAGCTATTGAGATTCGAAGAAATTTCAATATTATAATATTATCCGTCGATAATTTTCAGCTAAAGTAAGGAAATTTATGCAAGTAACGATGTTGTGGAGAACGCTCTCAATCCGGGCCTTTTATTATCAGCTTAAAAGCGATCGTGATGTAAGCTCGCCAGATAAGTGATTTAAAAATCTGCCTTGTTTGTGCTTGTATAATGTTTTTAGTTTCAAGATTGACAATTATCTATTTCTTGTGCAACTTACCTTTAGTGAGTAAAACCGCACGTTAAACGGTATATCGGAATAATTTTCAATTCACGTACAAAAAATGAATAAAAGGTAAAGTATAACGTTTAGTCCATACATTGATAATATGTAAAGAGTGTGATCGTGTGATTTCACCTTAATTTCTTAGTTCAGTACAGAGTATTAGTACTGTCCGCGTAACAAGTACAGCGCGGTCAAGGTCAGATAGGATGTACGACGTAGATATCGTTTCAATGTCGCGTAATTTTTCACAGAGAGTAATTTTGCGAGATTGTTACGCATCGTTTTTCTTAGAATTTAAGAGCTTTTACAAATTTAGTGATTACCTACTTGAATATGTAATAAGCTTTTTTATTTGAAAATTTATTTAATACGAAATATAAAGAGTAATGTCAGACAGAACACGGAGATGTTGTTGTTTTTTTTTAATAAAATATTTTCACAACTTGCGAGATTTCACTGACTTGCAGGATTATTGGGTTTGATAATATTTTTTTAGAGAGTATTATAAATTGATTTAATAAAATGGCAGGCAATGAAAGAAGTCGTAGGAATAATGCGTTATTCTAGTAGAATTTTGTATTTTCAAATTTATTACTTACATCTTAAAATATTATGCTAGCACATATTTACGCTATTAATATTCTCTTATAAAAATTGGTCTGAGTTTGAAGTAACACAAAGGAAGGAAGCGAAGTAAAGTCAATGTTTGTCCTACCTATAGCTTAATGACCTAAATAGCGACAATAATTTACGTCAGATAGAATCATATTAAGTTCGTTTTTCAAGCAACAAAACATTATGTTTAACAATGATTTAGTCGTTTTTGTACTCGTAAAACTGCTTTATTAATAACGCCGCATATTTTAGTTACAATTAATTAGCAGTTAATAACAAATTAGCGGTTGGACTCTATCTGAATAGCAATTTAGGTTTTTTTAAAGCAGAATTCTGTAACAGACTGTGCTTCCAAGTTCAAGAAAACTGTCATGTCTATTCTGTGATACTTAAATTCTTATATATAATATCGCATTTTAAATTATGCAGCCAAAAGACGTCCTGGAGGAGTGGCAAGGAAAACATTTTGGATGATTCCAAATTACTTGAAACAAGTTTATTCGAATCAATCAACATATAAGGACTTTGACTTTATCATGTTCATGTCTTCCTTTAAGTTTGTTGGTTATTATATTATTGACAAAAACAAAAAGTTTGCTAAAAATCTTGACGCTCCGATTTCTTTTTGTAGGTTAAAAAAGTACAAAAGAAATATACAAAGCTATGGTAAACAACATATACAACCCTAACGCTTTGCGTGTTAAATGTACAATCAACACGATAAATGATGTTTCACCTGAGGGGAGGCATTTAACAAAAGCATACAATTTCTCAACAAAGCCCGCCGACGTGCTGTATATGTACCTTGTTAGACACAATAAACAAGAAACGACTTTCCTTCGGTTCTCAGGACAGTACCTGTGCTGCAAAATTACACGATTTCGTGATGCCAATGACCTTAATAAATTTTCAACTGTCTTCGCGTGACGCGCTCGCCGTCTAAACTTTAAGTTGAGAACGTATTTCGTTCGGGCGAATTAAATTTTAAACTAGTATTTTTTTATTGTGTCACAAACATTAATTATTTTGTTTTTTGTTTTGGTAGTCTACCTGTCTGGTTTGTTGAAAATAAATCAATTAAGATTTTCTTTTTATATAAACCATAGACATTTTTTAATAATGCTTAATAGGTAAACATAAAAAAATGTGCATTTCTTGCATTTTTTTATTCTAGAAGTATGATTTAGAACTTAAACAAATAACGGCGTAGATGGACGTATGGAAAACTAGAAAAGGATAATATGGAGGTATGGTACGATACTGTTTATTATTATTTTAGCTATAAAATGAAAAAATGTATCAAGTATAGGTAGAAAAAATAATAAACATAATTACAGCTCTAAATATGTGTAAAAAAGTATACGTAACAATTGTTTTAAAAACAATAAATATTCTGTTTTACTAATTAGTTAAAGTTAATCAAGATATTGCTTCCGTGTTTTACGTTAAGACAGTAATTATCAATTTTATTATTTTCCAGGAACTTTCTGTCTTATTTCTATAAAATTAATTACAAATTAGTTTAGTAACAAAATATATAACAAGTTCAGACGTCCGTTCTCATTATTTTGCTCGGGCTTCACGAGCTTATATCCAGGCATGAGGGGGATGCGTGGCAACAGTGTGCCGGTAGAGGAGGGGGTAACGGGAGTACCCAGCTACGTGGGCGAGTCTGTAGTATATGGTAGTACGACTAGGTTTCTACGGCGTGGTGTTGTTATGTCTCAGCTTTACGCATGCGTGGACCGAGCCACCGCTAGGTGTCGCGGCTAGACTACGACCTCGAACTCTACACCCGATATTGATAAACCTTAAGTCGTTATGCGTAGTCTTGGGAATTCTATTATGTTTTCAAGTTTCGTCATATTTACTAGCGATGTCGTTGTTGAGAGCTTTTCATTTGTTTGCTTATAAAAATTGAAGTATTTTAAAGATCTATGTTATATAAAAAAAATGTTTTTGAATTATATTTTATTCGTTAAACTGTTGCTTTCAGGAAATTAGATTATAAAAAAAATATAAGTAACCAAATTATGTATTGTTGTAATAACAAACCTCTACACGTTAAATTTAGTTATGATGGATCTCACACATAATATTTTATTGCTTGAAAAACAATTATTACAAGTATATTATATTACAAGAACTCACCTTCATCTTGATTACTCCCAAGTAGAACTTCAGTATTATGAAAATTGCCTTCTTTCATCATTGTATCAGGATCCTTTGGCAAAAAAACACCATCTACTGTAGGGGCCGATGGAAACCCTAAGATACCGGTATATGAGTTCCATTGTTGTACAGAAATTGTTTTTGCGTCTACTCCACGCATGCAGTCCATAACTAAGCTTGGATCAGCAGATAATAGAGAACTGTTGCAGTTACAATCGTCAACTAAAACCTTTCCAATATCTTGAGCCCTTTCACCCGTCATCCAACTCCATGGTGCATTCAAGGTTCCAGACTGTAAGATACCTCTTTTGAACAATCCTTTCATTTCAGGTGAAAGCATGTGCAAACTGACACTACCTCCGCCAGCTGATTCTCCAAATAACGTTATTAGTTCCGGGTCGCCACCAAACGCGCGAGCATTTTCCTTTATCCAGCGAATAGCCAACTGTTGATCCCATAGACCCATATTTCCGGGTGCTTCTTCGCTTCCCGCCGAAAAGTATTTATTGAGGTACAAAAATCCGAACGCTCCTACCCTATACTGCATGGAAGCTACAATCACATCACTAGAAGATGCCATTATATCAGCTTTATATAAATCAAGTGTAGCTGTGCCACTCATATAACCACCGCCGTATATCCATACTAGAATTGGCACTTTTGGCTTCTCTGTTAAGGGCTTTTCTTGATGGTGACGAACTCTTAAATGTTGTGGCACCCAAATATTTAGATAGAGACAGTCTTCTGATATATTTGTATTAGGATTCCACATTTCCTCTCCTTCGAATCCTGGAAAGTACTCGTACCTTTCTTGATAACAGCTGTTTGGCATAGCTGTGGCTTCAAGAACTCCATGCCAAGGATCAATTGGTACTGGCTTGCGGAATCTGAGAGGTCCAAGAGGAGGCTTGGCAAACGGTATTCCAGTGAAAATATGAACCTCACGTCCCATTACCGTTTTAGCGTACCCTTTAATGAGACCACTCTTCGTTTCCACTATGAGAGGGTCACTATGAATGTTCTTGGGAATCGGACTCGTTGTCGGTGTTGTTTGTGTAGTGGAAGTCGTAGTGTCGTGATGATTCGCCCATGATCTTCCAAAGGCACCAGTCACAAAGAAGCACAGCAATAGTTTTGTAAACACGATTTTAATGTTCCGGCTCATTTCGATTTTTGTTTAACTAGGCCCTTCTTTAATAGGATTCGCGCGAACGCATTCGAAAGTACTCCGCCAACTTTACGATAATCTTGTATAAGCACATTTCTGGTCACAATCAATCTTGTACCTGAAAAGAAAAATACATCTTTTAGTATATAAAATCCGATAATAACATTATATTCAACGTCATAATTCATTGTTGACTACTTTTATTTTTCATTTTATTTCTAATAATATATTACTTCTTATATATCAAATAACATAAATCAAATAAACTACTCAATATACCTAATTGATGAAATTAACATACTTGTTATTTCACCGTATGAATTATTATGGGAGCAAATTAATTATTATTGGGTGGCTTTATTATATGGTCTTAATGTAAATTAATGAAATGTTTCTAGTTGTATTGGTCGACACATATTAGCATTAATAACGTATTATGTTTTGCTTTAATGTGATAATACTGTCTACCTGTCACGCTATCAAAAGGTAACAAGGTAGAGGTAAAAGGTAACAAAATGTGTTGAAATCCATTACCCGCTTTCATCCTAATTGTAGTGTTTACCGAAGTGAAAACGTAAATCAGATTCAATCAAACGTCGTCAGTAAATTGATTTGATATAGATGAGTAGGGGCTGTATGGTCGGCGGTACGATTGGAATCTTTGTTTGTTTCTAGCTAAGTTCGAATTTGATTGCAGAAATTTAACGAGTTGTAGTAACTTTAATTGTTGTGTGTACAATAAAAGTTTGACGTTAAAAAAGGATTCACGGTCAAGTAAAGTTATGTTCTTAATTTTATTCTCATTAATGAAGTAATTTATTTTTAACAGACATTTATTTCACCGTGTTTAAAAATCGTGATCAGTAGGTATGTCTAAATTAATTTCATTTCATTTATATATAAATATCTTTAGAATAACTTTCATATTTTAAGATGTTTCATTGACAAAGTGGAATGTTATAGTCGATTATAATTATAGTAAATTAAGCTAAAATTAATTTAAGGACGACGTATTTTTTTATATTTTAGAGAGATATTTTATAATTTTTAAATTATATATCAGTAAAGCACTGTAAATGCAAAATTTATAATAATAACAAATAATTCACGGTTATATAAAATCCACAGTTTCTCTATCATTAGTAAAGCAGACAGAGGGTCTAAATTGAATTTATCAGTGGGATATCTGAGATTGAATATTCCTCCGGATTATAAGCAAGTTGTAACTATATCCGAACCGATACAGGAACGAGGTTCACGTGACATTGACGTCTATCGGATATCAGCTCGGTACTTCGTACATTATCACCCCTCTTACGTCCCCACTGCAGGGGTTTAGGCCTTCCTTATGGATAGTTAAGGAGGGCGAGAGCCAGAACCCTCCACGCTATTCCAATGCAGATTGTAGGTCATTAACAACTGCAAATGCAACTGGTATCAACGGCTTAACATGCCTTCCGAGACACAGGGTAATCATTTTTTAGTCACCCATCCCGTGATCGACCTTTGCGGAAATTGCATAGCAACCATGATTGAGCGCCGCAGCGCTTATCCACTATGCAACGGAGCTACTCGTGAAGTAGGTACAAATATTGATTTTTACAATTACAATTACAACTAGCTTACGATATGACTTTATTTTTTGACACGTGTAAAATGTGCAGCTTTTTAAAAATATAAATAAAATAAAAAAATTTGAAAGTAAAACTTAGTGAACAAAAATGTTGCTTCTGATTATTCCTTAAAGAAGCAATTAAAATATACAATAAATATCTAGTGAAGCAAAGAAGAAAATTCCGAGAACAAAAGGTCTTAACATCAGTTATCCATATAGCATTATAATTGTAAAATAATAATTTAAAAACAATAATTAATGGTTATAGACTTAAACTTTTAAAAAGCGTACACTAAAAATAATGCGACTCATATTCTGTAGGTTGTTTCGTTAGGGCTGAGTAAAAAGTTTTACGAAATGTGTTTAAAACGAGTGTGGAGAAGTAGGCGAGGACATAAATGGAACCCGAAGTATATAAGGCACATTTACTAATAATGTTAGCGCGCATTCAACAGATAGTCGATTCAATTCTATCGTTAATGCATTAGGGTCCACAGGTCTCGATTTTCCGTGATCATTTTCTATCGTCGGATATCAATATTGGCCGCCGGGGACCCATAGTCGGCTCACGCATATTTTATCCGTTCCAAAAGATAAGTGACGATTTTACATCTATCAATAATAATAAATATTTTTTCTAAAGTTAGTTTAGTGAATTCAGTATTTATTCAAAATAATGACTACCAGTGTTTTCATCACTCATGGTAACTAATACCATGAGTGATGAAAACTAATTACACTAAGTTATTGATTACGCAAAAGATATAAAAACGTTTTAGTATTCTTCATTATTCTACCTGACAAACAGACAGTCAAAAATTAACCATCTTCCCTATTACATTAAAAGTTAGGTAAATGCACAGATGTTATAAGACTTTATCAGGTTCTAATAACTTCTTATTTTAGACAGCATATAGATTATTGAAATTCCAAGATAAGTAGCTAAACCCAGACCCGAAACAATTTAGAAGATTTCATTGTCTACAATAACTCGACTGGGAATTGAATAGAGAGATGGCGACACTAGGGATTGCAATCTCGCAAGATTGGGACTCGGACGAGATCTCGCGAGTTTATGAATATCAATACCGCGAGATCTCGCCAATTACGAGATCTCACGTGGTTGGCACTTTCGCGTGTTTACTGTTTTACTGTAAATGAAATAAACAACCACTCTTCCCTGCTAATATCAAACAGAAGTTAATTATAATACACAGTTTTTTATAACAAAAAACCATAATAAACTCATTAACTTAGTTGAATTGACTATTAAACTGAGATTATTATCAATGAAAGAAAATTATGTGTACCCAGAGATCTATTAAAAATTAGAGAATAAATTAACAAAATATACCAATCAATTGAAAGGCTTATTCAGTCATCTTTTTATTTTTTCTATTACGAATAATTTTGAAAGTAGCTTTTTAAGAAGCACAGAAAATCCAAAGAATCTTTACTATTCTTCTTATTATTGTGCTGGCCAGATAACCAGTCCCTGAGAAGACCCTTTCGAAAACACAAGTACTGTAAGGGTGTTCGCCTTTTAACCCCCCAGACTTGTATAAATTCACGCTGCCGCACTTAGAATATATCGTTTTTATGGTCGAGTGCAATCTCGTTAAACTCGCGAAATCTCGCTCATGTTTCGATCGAGATCAATCTCGCTGAAAAGGGCCGAGATATCGCGAGTACGAGATTGCATTCCCTAGACGACACCCCCGACGTGCGAACCATTCGGCTACGGAGGCCTTTAATTAGTTAAAGATTGGAATAATGCATTATAATATAAATTGACAAAAAATATATCGTATAATAATAAAGTATATTTAATTAACTTATTTTACAGTAACTGATTAGCCAATATACAAAACTAATATAAGTTTGACCGTATAGGTACCGCACAATCACTATCGTTGCACTTTAATTTGTTCCATCAACTATCAATAAAAATAAACGTAATAGTAGGTATATGAATAACCGTTGTCATCGCTGTGTTGTTTTGTTAGGACTTAGTAGTTAAGCGTGCGTTTGATGTAAATGGGAGTTAGTATCAATGTAAAATAAATAAGATAAAGATAATTTAATTAACAATAGTCACTACGGAGTTCATTAAATCTATTTGCTGATAGAAAATTGGCAAAATTGAAGCTAAGACAGCCTTATGAAATTGAGATGAAAACGGAAAGGAATTCCATCAATCTCGAACGTTAATTAAATCCAATTACGATGTATCGTGTGATAAAGCAATTAAACGCTAAAACGTTATTTGGCTATCATTTATATACGTCTTATACGATAGCACGAAACTGGGTCATAAATTAGTTTATACACATTTCTTTTGATGTTCAAAATACCCTTGCCTTGGTTATTTTTTTTATTGTTAAAACTTTCAACTGGTTGTAACGCGTTTTAAGTTAGAAGCTCAATCGAATAAAAGCTTTATTACTTTTGAAGTATGTTTTAGGTATTTATTAAACGTTTAACACTGTGCGTACAGCGCTGTATTTTGAATAGAATATTTAATCGGTTATCGATATAAATTTTATTCATTTTCACTCCTACTAAATCGTAGTTCTGCGTCATTAAATATTAAAGAAAAATTATAGAATTATTTAGCATTCAATATGAGAAGTTCTTTTGAGACTATATTATTATTTAACAATTTTTATTATACTCATTCTTTTTAGATTGTCAGCGGAGAATGCGCATTGGAAATGTATACCATTGTCCGGCTCATTATCTTTCAAGGTTAAATAGGACCGCTACTGACTACGTTATAAAAACGTTTACAGACTATATAATAAGAAGTGTGCGTAGTTGTTTAATATGAAGTACATTGCTTATATTTTTTACTTTGATAAAAATTAATTAACATTGAGATTTCAACGTTCAATGCAAGGAAGTCATAGATAATTATTTAGTACCTACCTACATAGTATAGATTATAGATGAATGTCATCTAGAAAGTTCATTAATATAACACTTGACTTGGCCATTCATTGACCATAAAAAAATCATCGCCATCTTTCATTAATTAAATTTTCATTTTACATGTAAAAATTAATTTACTTGACATTGGCAGAATTGTGCGAAATGCGCAAATAAGCCATTAATTAAAAAAAAGAAGAAGAAGACTTGGCCATTCAGATAAAGCTTTTTTTTTAAGTAAGTCAAAGTTACAGTTCTTAGTTCTTATTTTGCATCAGAAAACAGTTGTGATATTGTCACTCGTCATCACATCAAGCGGAAAGGGTTTCGTATTCATCCTATGACGTCTGAATCTGTTTCCTGTTGTATCTAAAAAGTAGAATTTTACATTTTCATCTGTTCTCTAAAATGTACTTAAAATCCGGTATTGGTCGTAAAATAACAGGACCTAGTA